CCCAACCCAAAAAAAAAAAAAAAAGACTCTTTTATTCATTCAACATTAGCGACCGCTTGCTATGTGCTGGGCACTTTCTAGAAACATCATCTTAGGTACTTGATGGTATAGTAAATTCTAAGACCGAAGTAAGCCAGAAGGTTCCCCTGGGTACCCATGCCAGTAGAACTGGCCAGATGGGAACCCTGCCTAGGGACTGTCCACTGACTACCCTGGTCCAAAACTCCTCACTTTTGTCTCTGTTAGAGGTGCTGTTATTCTGTATTTGTGGAAAATTTTAGAGTGGCTACTTATTGAATAGAGATGTTCCTTCCCATTTGTTGGCAAGTCATGAGTTACCATCATGAAATATAAATAGCAGTTCTGAGTGGCAGAAAGATTAAGAAAACAGATCACAGCAAAGGTCCCTCTTCTTGGCTAACTTGCGCAGAACAAACAGCCGATTTATTCCAGAGACATCCTGGGAGTGGCCTGAGGGAGCGGCAATACCTTCTGGTCTAACCCAGAAGGGCTGCATGAACGCTGAGCCCTGGCCTTGCGGCATATATCCAGACACACGGTTTATCCAGTTAAGCGGAATCTGACATCGTGACAAAATGGTTTGAGAAAATTGCCACCACAAAATATATGTGTTCAACTTTACGTGTTAAAAATGCAATGTAGGGCAACCTCCTCGGGTCCCCTCCTGCTCTGGGAGCTTTTCTGTCTTCTCAATAAATCCTGCTTAAAAAAAAAAAATGCAGGCACAGTGGCTCATGCCTGTAATCCTAGCATTTTGGGAGGCCAAAGAAGGAGAATCCCATGAGCCTTGGGAGCACAGTGAGACCCCGTCTCTACCAAAAAAAAAAAATTAGTCTGGTGTGGTGGCACACCCTGTAGTCCAGGCTACTCAGGAGGTTGAGGCAGAAGATTGAGGGTGCAGTGCTTCAGTCTGGGAGGTTGAGGCTGCAAGGAGTTATGATTGCACCACTGCACTCCACCCTGGGCAATAGAGTGAGACCCTATCTCTCAAAAAGGCCAACGGGTGGTATTTTGTGTTTCCTTGTCCCTCACTCAAGCACTCCCTTTTTAGTAGGCTTGTTAACTCTGCAAAACCAACAACAGCAAATTGGTGAGGCCTGCTTATATCATATATATGATATTATGTGTGTGTATACATACATATTCTGATCCTCTTTCATCCATTTAAATTTGTTTTTTAAAAAATATGTAGGCCAAGCTTGGTGGCTCAGCTTGTCATCCCAGCACTTTGGGAGGCCGAGGTGAGTGGATTGCCTGAGCCTGTGGGTTCGAGACCAGCCCGGGCAACTTGGCAAGACCTCGTCTCTACAATAAATAAAAAATTAGTCGGGCATGGTAGTGCATGCCTGTAGTTCCGGCTACTTGGAAGGCTGAGGTGGAAGGTTCGCCGGCACCCAGCCGGTCGATGCTGGGGTGGCCGTGAGTATGCCACTGCCCTTCAGCCTGGGTGACAGAGTAAGACTCCAACTAAAAAAAAAAAAGGATGTGTGTGCAAGAATGAGACAGGGTGAGAGGGATGAGGATCCAGAGGGTGCTGTCTGCTAGAAATGGGGTTCAGCTGCACCCGAAGCCGCACCCATGGCTGCCGCACCCATGGCCGTTCCATCTCTCTTGAACTTGGTGGAAGAACTGCAACACCTGCTGCTTCTCCTCCACCTCCTGGTACTCCGGGGATCACCCCTCAGCTGGCTGTCATCCCTGGGAGATGCCCCAGGGCCCGCTTATTCAGGGACAGCCAAACTCCAGTCCCAGAAGCTGCTAGGCCCTGGCTCCCTGGGGTCTTAGAGATAAGTTGAGGCTCTGATAAGTCCCAGGCTTAAGTCACCCCGGCTGGAGTGCAATGGCAAGATCACAGCTCACCGCGGCCTTCACCTCCTGGGCTCAGGTGATCCTCCTGCCTCAGCCTCCTGAACAGCCGGGACTACCAGTAAGCACCGCCACACCTGGCTAATTTTTTGTAGAGACAAGGTCTTGCTGTGTTGCCCAGGCTGGTCCTGATCTCCTGGGCTCAAGAAATCCTCCTGCCTTGGCCTCCTAAAGTGCTGGGATTCTAGACACCACCATGCCTGACTAGCCCATCCTTCTTCTGATGCTTCCCTGGCTCAGTCCTCACCTCCTTTGGATGCCTAACCCCCACCATCACCCTCGCCACACCCTGGGAAGTGACATTGACCTGTGGGTTATTTCACCCTTTCTCCTCTGGGATGGCTCAGAAACGCTAGTACTAGCATTTCCCCTAAATGCCCTGCAAGAGCTCCCAAGTCCGCCTGCCACCAAGGGAGACCCCATTTTATTGTCTGTAAACTGTAAGTAATTACAGAAGCCTCCCTGTGGGGTCTCATGAGGATTAAACAAAATAATGTGTATCCTGCATCTGGGAGAAGGCTGACATGCCGTGAGCTCTAGCTGGGACTGTGGAGCCATCACCCGCACGTCACCGGTGCCCCGTGCATGCGAAACCAGGGACAGCGCACAGCTGAGCGACTGCAGACACGCCTCTCTTCACCCCAGCATACTCCCCGGACGGCCTTCCACGTCTGGCTCTCTGTAGCTCTCTGACCTCTGAACCTCAGTTCACCCTCAGCCAATATCCAGGGACCTCACTGTCGAGATGTTCGTGACGTTCACAACGGCATAAAGTTGAAAGTTCCATCCTTTCTGATCTGCAGCAGAAAGCGCCCCATGAGCTGGGCACGGTGGCTCATGCCTGTAATCCCAGCACTGTGGGAAGCTGAGGCAGGAGGACTGCTTGAGCCCAGGAGTTCGAGACCGACCTGGGCAACATAGTGAAACCTCTTCTCTCAAAAATAGAACACAAACAGGAAGTCCCTGGGGAGGTCACTCTCCTGAGACCACAATGCACAGGCCGCCGCCCCACAGCCCAGACAGGGCCAGCCAGGCCAGTGTCAGTTCCCCTCCATTCACTGTGCACTGTGGTTCCTGGATGCAGCCGCCCTGCATGCCTCTCTGCCCCTACACAACAACAGTGCATACACACACACACAGACACACACACACACACACACATACCTCAATGGCTTTGTAGAAGATGCTGGTGCCGATCTGTACCACCTCCAGGTTCTGCTCCTGCTCGTTGCGGGCACACTTGATGTATGTCATCCAGCTGCGGTGGTCCTCCTGGCTGGCGTCGATGAAATAGCGTACCGTGCCATCCTCGTTGAAGACCTGGGCCCAGATGGAACAAGGACCCGGTGAGGTGGAGTTGTGCCACTTGCGGGCCGCCAGGCAGGTCCACATGCGCTCTCTGTCTGTCCTCACAACAGCCTAGGGAAGCGAGCTTTGCTATTACCAGCTTTGCTTTCCAGCTGAGAAAAGGGAGGCTTTCAGGGAGGTGCAGTGCCTTGCCTGAGGCTAGCCGGCTGGAAGTGGCCACCAGGGAGTCCGTCTCCAGGGCCCCGGAGAACGGACTGAGACAGGATCCTGCTGCCGTGACCTCCCCGCCCCAGAAGGAAAGGGTCTCCAAGGGACCATTGACCCGACGAAGCAGCCTCCAGCTGGCTCTTGGAGGCTGCAGGGGTGCCTGGAGGGGTAGTGGGAGCACCACCAGCCAGGGCACCAGAGGGGCACACAGGAGGCTGGAGAGGGAAGGCTGGCTCGCTGTTGCATCCTAACCTGGCCTAAGCCCCTTCGTGGGTACTGCCAAGGGCACTCAGAGTCAAACTGGACCCAACTTCCTGACCCAGCAACAGCTGGAGAAGGACTCCACAGGTCTAGACCTCCAGAGGAGGCAGAAGATGAGGTTAGGAGAGACTTCTGAGCCGCCCCCCACTTCCCTTGCTCCTGCTCCCATGATGAGCCGCGGAATTGACCACATCCAGGGTCTTCCAGGTGGGGGATATTGGGGGGAGCAGGGGAGGCATGAGATTAGGAAGGAGGTGCACTTGTCGGGCCTCAGGGGCTCTGGTTCTGCAAAGTGCGGGCCCTAGGAGAACGTGCGGTGGGTGGCGTTGTCCTAAGGGTGACCCTCCAGGCACCCGGCTGGGGTAGGCTCAGAAGGCCTGGGTGAAGCCTCTCTGGGCCTCTCAGTTTCCTTTTAGAAAATGGAAACAACAACTCCCAGGGCAGCCAAGATGATCCGGTGGGTGGCAGGCTGGGGACTGGAACACTGACGCAATGCCAGTTCCGCAATGATCATTTTGAATGTCATTCTGGTGGGAGTGGAAAGCTGATTCCCAGAAGCACAGCCCCTCACTGTTCATCTTCTAGCCACACCTCATCCCCAGGCCAGGGCTGGCCTTCAGGGGCTTCCCTTGTTGTCTGGGGGTGGGGAGGGTTAAGGAAAGAAGGCAGGTGGCTGGGAGGGCGCTTATCCGGGACCCCCCTCTCAGCTCCCCTGGGGCCCCTGGGCAGGCTCCTGGGTCACCCTGGGTCTCAGTGCCCTCATCTGTGAAATGGGCCAACAGCAGTCCTGTCCTCTAGGGTCTCTGGAGGAAGGGGTGTCAGAGGTTTTCCCAGCAACGGCCTTTGCGACACAATTTGGGGAGGAGCCATCAGGCTGGGTGAGCTCCAGGCATCCGCAACTCGGAGTCTGGAAGCAACGCCCGGTCCGGCCAGCACCCGAGCCCCTTGCGGCCCACACTCACCTCCCACATGAGGTTGTTGTTCTTGCAGACGTCCACATGCTCCGGGGCGATGACGCGACCGGTGAAGGGGCCCATCTCGGTGCCCGCCTTGATCCAGGTCTTGGAGAAGATGCCGAGGCCCTCGCCCGGGATGGAGCTCTGTGCGATGATCACCTCGGCCGGTAGCACCAAGCTGGACAGCTTCTGCACCTCTGCAGTACCAGGCAGGGCCGGTCAGGGTGGAGGCAGGGAGGGTCAGAGTGGACGCAGGGGGCTGGGGCCGCCCGGCTCCTCCCAGCCAGGGACCCCGGCCTGGCGCAGCCTGGCCACTGCCATCTTCCTCTGGAGAAGTCACCCTGGTGTAGGGTTGTGGGGACAGCGAGGCCGGGCCCTTCCCAGCCAGGGACCCCAACCAGGTCCAGCCCTGCCACCCCCACCGCCCTCCGGAGAAGTCACCCTGGTGTGGGCTGTGGGGACGGTGAAGTCCGGCCCTTCCCAGCCAGGAGCCCCGACCTGGTCCAGCTCCGCCCAGCTCCTTCATGTACCTGCCGGTAAGTCACCCTGGTGTGGGGGTGTGGGATCGCAGAGGCTGGGCGTTGGGATTCTCCCGTCCGCAACCCAGGGACCCTCCATGCCTTAAAAAGCAAGTGGTGCCTCGGGGCTCATGTTTAGGAGCCGGTTTTCAGTGTCTCCACGAATTCTCAGAGCATCCACAACCTCTCCCGCCCTCTGCCCCATTGAAGTTTAAGAACTAGTGGGTCAACGGCACTTCGTGGTTTTACAGATAGGGAAACTGAGGCCAGGTCCTGCGAGGAGGTGACGGCCAACCCGGGACTCCCGCCTAGTCCTGTTCTGGGCGCTTCAGCCGGTCATTCGCCCCGCGGTGCGACCGGGCACAGGGCAACGGCGCCGAAGCCCCGGACGCGTCAGCGGGGGGAACAGACCTCGGGCTGCCAGGCGGCGGCGACGCCAGGAACACGGGCGGCGGCGGGCTCCGCGCTGGCTGCGTGGCCCCGGGCACGCCCGGGGCGCTCTCTGCTCCCAGGCCCCGGGTGCCAGGGAGGGCGGCGGCGCCTGGACTCAGGAGAGCCCCGAAGCCGCCTCTCCGGGCGGGGAGGAGCCGGGCGGCCGGGTGGGAGCCGCGAGGCGGCAGGGGCGCCTCCGTGTCTTACAAGGTTCCCCTCTAAGCTACCTGGGAAAATACCCGGCGAGCGGGCCGGCTGAAAGCGGGGGTTAAACGGTGTCCGTGCGGCGCGGCCGGCAATTTGTCACGCTGTTAAAGCGATCGCATTCATTCGGCTCCATTCGAAAGAAATGGCTAATTCTAAATTCATTAGCCCTGGAAGAATGCTGTAGCAGTAAATTGTAGCTCAATGCGGAGGGGACTTGTTTAAAAGGGGCCGAGGAATTCCCCTTACAAAAAGAGAGGATTAGATGGTTGACATAGCGTGAATGCAAGTGGAATTAGTCTTCACGGCGAGTTAAGAGGGGAACAGACCGCAAAGGGGAGAGAACGGGCGACGCGCAGAGGTGCCAGCGCCGGGGGAAGATATTGTTTGCGGGTTGACGAATGAGGAATAAGAACTTGAGACATCTTAAAGAAAAGAAACTTTTCTGGCTCCCCTCTCTCGCCCGCTCCCCGCCTTCTCTCCCGGCCGCCC